GTCCTCTCTTCGCATTAGGTGACCAAAGTATCTGAGCTTGAGCTTCATTATCAATCCTTCAGTAAAGGATATATTAACATATAATGTCATCAAATCTTGTTACATGCACACACACACACACACACACACACATGTACATATAATCGTCGTTTAGAGGCCACAGTAGGGACCGGTAACTTGGTTGTTAAGTGAAGCAGTCACTAAGTAAAACCACAACTATGCTTATGATCTTACTTCAGCTTTCCTTTGTTTTACAGACCTGTGAAGCTCATAAATGTGAGGATTGGTTGTAAAGTTATTTTTTCATCACCATCGTAACTGTGAACAGTCCTTAAATGAGGTGTATTATATATATAAAATATACATTGTATCTAAAACAAACAAGTAAGTCTAGGATGGCTCATTATTCATAGTTAGTATAAAAATCATAATCAACAACTGCATGTTAAAATAAAAAATTATTGATGAGCTCCCAAGTAATAAATATTGTCTTTCAGATTTGTTTTTTGCTGCAATAGACAATCTAGAGCTTGGAAAACTGAACAAGTTTTAATTTCTAAGCTGTAAATTAGACTAAAATGCATACATAAAAATAGAAAATGCAGAAAATGCAGAAATCAACATAAGGACCCAAGCTTTAGTTACCCTACAGCTGTCATCAGTATTCCAGAGAAGCTAAAAATATCTTGAGTTTTTAGCAAAACAGCATCCATAGACAAAGCTACATTAACAGCACACTGAAGCCACTTATTTCTATGTTGATGTAAACTACTGAATTGTGAACTCTGTCTCCTTATTATATGATAAGACTATTTTAAGAGTATAGAAAAAACACATTTTAGTTATTTACACCCAGATCTCACGCAGCACACATATGGCATGCACCTGATGCATCTGAAATAGAAAATGTTCTTGTACAGAGTTACACTGTTTTTCCAGAATGACAGAATTATCTACAACTTCTCATGGAATACAATATTGATACAAATTTCAATCACATCAATTCTCTTGTTCATAGAACATGTTGCAAAAGCATTTCAATAAAGGGCACAAGAAATACATTTGGAAGCCCTGCTTTATGACCTGTTCTTTACCTGTATATTCACATAAGGACAGGTACAACAAAAAGCATGACAGAATGAATACAAATGTGGCAACTGCACAAACTGGGAGCTAAATAGAAGCAAGTTTTATTTATCTATCTATCTATCTATCTATCTATCTATCTATCTATCTATCTATCTATCTATCTATCTATCTATCTATCTATCTATTTTAAAGAGACCTCTATTTTCTATATCCAGTTTTTACTGTGTTTACAGGGAAGCATCAGGCAAGGCCTGATGCTTCCCTCCATATAGCAATCTGAGGTCTATATTTTGCGTAATTCAGTATAATAAAGATCAGTTATCATGTAACATTTTCACAGTGCTATTAAATACCAGTTTTAAAAGAAGAAATGGGCAGCTAAGATGACCTTCATGTCTTCGGTGACCCTGCTAGGCGTATATGCTTGTGGCATAAACTCCCAGTGTTCTTCACTCATCTTTTCCAGGAAGTCACCCCTCTGCTCCTGATGAGGCAGCATAGCAGGACTGGAGGGAGTATTATTTTATTAAAACCAACTAATATGACACAAAAAGGGAGTAACATTTTTGAGCTCATACAGTGGGGCAAAAAAGTATTTAGTCAGCCACCAATTGTGCAAGTTCTCCCACTTAAAAAGATCAGAGAGGCCTGTAATTTTCATCA